CTGTGGGAGTGCTTCACCATCGTCTGCTTATGAATGTCAACACCTCCATTGCCGTACTTACCATATTACCACTTTGGAGGAGCGTGCACCATGCACAATCGACACTTCATGCTTGGACGTCCGTCGAGGCGTTGGTCGATGAGCAGCCAGGGGAATTTTCGCACCCATTGCTCTTCGGCCTTCGCCTTCAGTTCAGCAAGAAGTGCATCGGGATCGAGGATGAGATGAGAGTGGCTTCCCATGCTGAGCGTCAGATCAGAAGCTGAAACAGACTTTCCCGCCTCTTGGGTCGCAGATGGCGTTGCATCAACAGCAGGTCGGGAAGTCTCTAGCCTGATGTGAGGAACACGGGTACACGCGAATCGAATGGTGCTTTGCGGGTACCTTCCAGCAGGCAGTCTTGAAGGCAATGCTGGGATTGTGGCTACTGAGAGTGGAGGCGAGGGGATCCCCGCGGCAGCAGTGGGAGAGCGAGGAGAGGCAGGCGGAGTGGATGCGAGCAAAGGCTCAGCATCAATCTCCAGGAGTAAGTCAGAGAAAGGCAGAGGCTCGGATGGGGAACAAACAGCTAGGACGGGCACAGCCTCTGGCGTCTCTCGCGGAGGCTGGCATAGAAAATCCAGCCCCCTCATTGGGGGTGCTGTAGCAGGAACGGGCTGTGCTATGGCGGCGGCGTCGTCATCAGTGGTGGCGCTGCCAGCCATCTAAAACTGACTGGCACAGCAAACGAGTGAGATACGCTACGGGGCATGTCTAACCTGGGTGCGGTAACGATAGTGAAACGAGGGCATAGTGGCGGACAGGGGAACTTGTAGAAGAGAAGGGTGAAGAAGAAAGGGAGTTCCCCACATCTCTTTCAGCATGCATCGAACCGCAGCCCGTTTCAATGGTGTAGAGTAGAATGATCCCCCTAAGACGCAGGTTCATAGGGAGGCCGGCTAGGAATGTATGTTGCGACAAGCCAATGGGAGAGTATGCTGCAATGGCTCATAGGGCAAGCCAATTGGAGAGGCCCCGTTGCCTTACCTAGCAGGACAAGCCAATGGGAGGGGCTCTGCCCTGTCTAACAGGACAAGCCAATGGGGAAAAGAGATGCTGCCAATGCATGGATGCACTATCCTTGCAAAGCCAAATGGAGGGCAACTGTGGAGAGTCATTGTGTGTTGGAAGGGGATGGGCCAATGAGACTACACGGCTGACTCAATCGCCCACTGCGACGCCACACCGTGAGAAAGATATGAGTCAGCACTTGTCTCACCGACGTTGTGCTGGTGCCGAAACTGTAAGTAATGATGCCCCACTGGGCGTGCCTGTTAAACTAAGGTAGCTAGGAACGGTAGGAAGCCATAGAAATGGCGAGAGGTTTTAGGCTAGGAAAGTTGAGGAGAGAAAAAGGAGAGAGAATAGAAGAGAGAGGGATACAAGGAGGGGTGTTGTACCCTCTACAGTAGGTTTCAGTAACGCATACCAAGCCTACAATTATATAACATATATATAATTTAACACACCCCCTAGGCTTGGTAGTAGAAGAACCCACACACACCCACACCCCCTAACCTAGCACCCCCATTTCCAGCAGCAGCCGCGATGACTCTGGAATCGGTCAACACCCATGGCCCCGGAGATGGCAATGGCAGCAGGCACAGCAGTGACGAGAGCAACGGCGGCGGTGTGCGGCGGCAACTGGCCAGCGGCAACAGCGAGGCACCATGGCTGGCACAATGCTTACTGGCATGAGGGCGTTACGAGTGGCGCCTAGGACAGGGCGCTGGCCCAGCTGTCCGTGCGCTGGCGTGGCGAAGCCGTCACGGCAACACGACGGCACGGCGGCACGGCGGCACGGCGACCCAGCGGCACGGCGGCGCAGCGGCACGTCGACCCAGCGGCACAGCGGCGTGGCGGCGCGGCGGCACCGTGGCACGGCGGCATGGCAGGATGGCGACACGGCGGCACTGAGGCACGGCGACGTGACGGGGCCGGCGCGGAGTGACGGGGTCGGCGCGGCATGACGGGGCCGGAGCGGAGGGACGGGGCCAGCACGGTGTGACAGGGCCAACGCGGCGTGACGGGGGGGGGAGTACGCTGCGGAAGCATGAGGAGAAGGCCCGAGCGAAAGGGGTCTGCTCTGAAACCATGTTAAACTAAGCTAGGTAGGTGGGAAGCCATGGAATGGCGTGAGGTTTAGGAAGGAGAAAGTTGAGGAGAGAAAAGGGAGAGATAATAGAAGAGAGAGGGAGACAAGGAGGGGTGTTGTACCCTCCACAGTAGGTTTCAGTAACACCTACCAAGCCTACAATTGTATAAGATATATATACAAGCGATTTGCTGTACACGCGGGGATTTCGAGGGGGCTGGATGCAGCCTCACAATAATCGGTTTCAGAGGAACATATTTGCTAAGTGTGTAAAATCAGAAGAACAAGACCACACATTCTGAAATTTTAGAAGGACTATAATTCAGTTTCTAGGGCATCCGAAATTCTAGAAATAGGTTTCTAAAAAATCAGAGGAACGCCTAAAAAAGAGTCTGAAAATAAGACAAACTGGCGGATTTTGTCTGATGACGAGAGCCCTGAGCCCAGCGAGTGAGGAAAGTGGCTAGGAATACCAAGTGTTATGAATGGAACTGTCGAGTAGCGCGGAGGGAAATAGCGAAACTGTGAACGAGTGAATGACAATAAAATGAAAGACAACATAATATATAGGAAACCTATGGTGATCCTGGACGTAGGATCAGAAGGTACGGGAAACGTATCGAAGGGCCTCGATGTGTCGTAGCGAGGTCCGAAAAGGCCTAGGAGGCTCGAACTGAAAGGTCTGAAACCCTATCGCTGGTTCGGGACTGTTCGAGTCATACGCCCTATAGCAAGCCTCACTAAGGAATTACTACCGTAATCCCCCGGATATAGGCGCATCCCTTTATTTGGCCCATTGCACTTATGGACTGCAAGTGCTCTTATATCCGTTATTTCATTATAAGCGCACCCATATTTTTGAAAATGTATTTCCTATAGGCGTATCACATTTTGGTCAAAACTTATGTTAAACAGGGGATTTCCATATCGGAGTTTATGCCGTGTCCCTTCCGAGTGTTCGAATGCTAGAATGATTAGAATGTGAGAGTACAAGAGAATATAGGCTAGTGTGTTGTACCCTCTAAGGCACAAACCTATATAGTCTACAATAACATACTAAGTTATGTTTTGACACACCCCCTAGACTATATAGGGGCAGTGTCTAACAAGCGGACAAATAGGTCAGGGCGGCACTACTAGTCCAGCCTTTGAGGCAAGGGTCCGAAGACCAGTCAAACGAGTGCAGACCAAGGCAAGAACAAGGCCAGGGCAGCACTACTAGTCCAGCCAGTGGGAGAGGCCACAAGACCAGTCAAGGTAATATACATATCTATAGAGGTTTGTACACAATCAAGGCCCTAGCTAATGAGAAGCTACAGGAACAAGACCAAGTTGTACACAGTGCCGCTGATTATCTTTAGGCGCAAGCGCCTTCGTAAAGATATTAGCTGTGTTGGCACCTGAGGCCAAGTGTACTACGCGTGCCTGGCGTCGCTGCTGTAGCTCGCGCAGGAGGAAGTACCGCAACTGAATGTGCTTCCCTCTGCCCTCAAGTCGAGGCTCCTGACACAGGAGGATCATGGCCCTATTGTCAGCGTACAGGACCGGGGCAGAGCTAGGCCGCTCACCTAAGTCGGTGAGCAAGAAGGTCAGCCACCGGAGCTCCTGTGCCGCCATGGCACCGGCGTAGATTTCAGCCTCGCAGCTGGACTGGGCAACAGACGAGGAGCGGGTAGCTCTCCACGAAACAGCACCCGAACCAAGGCTAAAGCAGTAGCCCTGAGAGGACCTGAGGGTCTCAGCGTCGTCTGCCCAAGAAGCGTCTGTGTGTCCAGTAAGGACCACTGGCCTGCATCCTCCGAGCACTAGCCCCATGCCCAATGTGCTCGCTAGATAACGCAAAACCCTCTTAGCGGCCGACCAGTGCTTCGGTCGGTGTCTGCCTGTGGCCACAAAGCGAGCCAGGATACTTAGAGGGTATGTCAGATCCGGGCGAGTGCTAGTCATCACGTATATGAGGCAACCCACCAACTCTGCGTAAGGACCACTGGGCTCTTCTGTCTCCTCAGGAACAGGAGCTGAGAGCCTGTGGTCTACTGGCACAGGTGTGGGCTGTGCGGAGGAGAACTGGAGGCCGAACCACTGAAGGACCTGGCACACCAAGTGTGACTGTGAGAGAGTGATGGTGCGCACTGCTCTGTCCCTGGAGATCTGCAGGCCAAGGTAGTGGCACAGTTCTCCTAGGTCAGTGCAGGTGTGTCTCTTCAGCAGCTCTGCCGTCACAAAGGCCAGCGCGTCCCTCTCTGCAGTGGCAAAGACCAGGTCGTCTACGTAAACAAGGATGTAGAACGGGGTCTGGCCAGCACGAACAAAGTGCGAGGGGTCGGCCAAGGACGGAAAGAACTGCAGGTCAGCTAGGGTAGCACGTAACGTCTCGTGCCACTCAGATGGCGCGTGTTGCAGGCCGTAGAATGGACGCCGTAGGAGCCACTGGGTCCCAGGAGGGAAGGTACGAGTAAGCCCTGAGGGTGGCGACAGTAGACCTGCTTGTGTAGGCTGCCCTGAAAAAACGCTGTGGAGAAGTCAAGGGAGTGTAGCTCGTAGTCGCGCTGAGCTGCTATGTGCAGTAGCACCGAAAGAGTAGTCATCTTCGCGGTCGATGCAAAGGTTTGGAAGACGCCCACCCCCTCTCGCTGACTGAAGCCTCTAGCCACGTAGCGCGCCTTGAACACAGGCGGCTCTCCATGGATTCGCTTCGCCTTGAAGAGCCAGCGGCCATCGACTACGTTCACCCCAGGTGGGGGAACTGCATCGACGTAGGTGTCGGTGGATCTCCAAGATGTCATCTCCTGCTGCATGGCAGCTATCCACTGAGAAGCCCAGGGTCCCGAGGTGGCCTCAGTGTAGGTGCGAGGGGTCGGGATGTCGAGGGTGTCTGGGTCACCCTCAGGGACTAGTAGCATGGAGCAGAGATGGGGAGCAGCCTCGGACAGGAAAGCAAGCTCGTACTGTCGGTCCTCCAAGATGTCACTGCCGAGGGCAGGAGCACCTCCGACGGACGGAGGACAGGCAGGGTCAGAGACCAGAGCGGTGGCGTAGTCAAGGCTGCGGGTAGAGGCAAAGTCAGCGTCAGCAGCGACAAGTGCGTCGAGGCACGAAACAGGAACAGACGGGTCGGTAACGAGAGAGGCAAGGACCCAAGAAACAAGAGGGCGAGCCGCACGAAGTTAGTCAGACAAAGGGGGAGGCACGACAACAAGAGAGGACGGAGGAGGCGACGGCAGGAGGGGAGGACGAGACACATGGGAACGAAGCAACATAGGGTGAGAATGCGGGACAGGGGAGACCGGACGCGCACGAGAGGGACGGCATCCCCAGACGTTCGACGGGGGGGTCGGGTCTGGAGACAGGGGAGGGGACAAAAGAGGGGAACGAGGGGGAAGACGAGCCGGAGATGATTCCGGAGGAGGGAACACACGACTGTAGATAGGAAGAGGAGGAGACAGTAGGAGAGGCTCAGACGCGCGGTCGGGGGAGGGAAGTTACCGGTGGCGACCGCTGCTGCTGCGGCTGCACAACGCCAACACCGGGACCGCCAACTGCTCCATGGCTACCTCCAAAACACTCCACTCCAGCACCCCCAAAAGGAACACCCCCAGAAACAGAGATCCCCTCAGCACCGGCACCACCCCCAGGCCCACCGAGACACGCCGCGACAGGAGCCCTAGGACGGGCATCCATCTCAGCGCCAACACCACCAGAGGGCACGAACTGCTGCTGCGGTGGCGACAACGGCGGCTGCAGCTGCAGCTGCAAAGGCGGAGGAGGAGACACTGAGGAGGGGGCAGGCGACAAAGACTGCGCCGCAGGGCCACAAGAGTCAGCAGACTCCTCAACCGGGACAACCGACGGGAGGGAGGTGATGTGAGACACACCACACGGGGCAGGGCGGGGAGGTGGGGATGCAGGGGCGACCAAGCAACGAGGCACCAGGAACAGGGGGGGAGTAACCGGGGGACCACAGTGGGGAAAGCGGTGGTAGAAGGAGACGGACTCGTCAAAGGTGACGTCGCAAGAGTGAAAGAAACGGTGAGATGGCGGGTGGTAGAAGTGCCAGTCAGGGGGAAACCTAGGAAGACACAGGGGATGGTGTGGGCAGTGAGCTTGTCCGTGCCAGAGGCACGAACGTGAGCGAGGCAGCCCCAAATGTGGAATGCAGATGCCTCACCAGGGGACCCGGTACAAAGAAGGGTCGGCGAAACCTGCGGCTGCTGGGGGTGCGGCCACAGGTTAAGCTGGTGGGCGGCGTAGCGAACGGCGAACGACCACAGAAAATGGGGTGCACTGGCATGGATCATGGAGGTACGAGCCACCTCCATGACCAAACCGATGCGTCGCTACCAGCTCCAGACCGGTCCTCGCCGTGACCTTGTGTGCGGTAAGATCGGTCACACCCCCACTCGTCGTTTCAGTCGCCTGGACGACCTGTTTCATCTTCGCTTTGGCCCGTCACCCGACCTCACTGACTGGCTCAGCTTACTTCGTCAGGGTGTTCAGATCTTTGATATGGACATGGATGAGATTAGTTCTGCGTTGTATGTGCTGTATGTCAATGACTCAAGTGTGATTGGTTCCACTTACCCAGTGTTGCCTTGTATAGGTATGCCTAGTTCAGACTCCCCTGCTGCGCCAGGCATAGGATCCCTTGCTTTGTTTAGCCTAGGCTCCTCTCTCGCTTCTACGGCTCCTGCCGCCACTACCGCACTCTCCTTCACCCTTGACTCCGGCGCTTCCCAGTGCTTCTTCCGGGACTCCACTACTCTCATGCCGTTTACAGCTCCCGCCGCAGTTTCCCAGGCCGACCCTTCCTCAAGCCCTGTCGTAGCTCGTAGCTCCACTACCCTTCCCTGTCCGGCGGTTCCTTCGGGCTCCCTTACAGGCCTGCACATCCCCTCGTTCTCTAGGAACCTAGTTGGTGTCGGCTGCCTCCTATCACATGATCGAATGTGTCGAGAAAGGTTGCACTATCGATTGATACAAGGTGCTTTTATACTTCCAAAGTACATCAGGTAACTAGGTTTATCTTATCCTAAGGGAATAGACCCTTCTAGAAGATAGAATCACCCTGCGTATAGCCACGCGAGGCTATTGGTTTTAAGGGATTACGGCAGGATTACGCTAGATATAGCGCACCAGTACATCCCGAGCCTGGTTGGTGATATAATGATAACAACAGGATAAACCAAAGGTTTATGGAAAAGGAGAAATAGGAATCCAAATGGAATAAGATAAAAACCAAATGGATCAAGATAGAAAGAGGAATGAAATGGAAAGGAGAAAGGAATGGAACGGGGTCGTACTCTCACACTTCCCCCCTCAAAGCTGGGTGGTAGACGTAACACCCTGCTTGACAAGGTAGTTGTGAAGAGGACGACGACCGTGATCCATCTCGGATTCAGAGACCCAACTATCCTCTGAAGAATCATAACCCTTCCAACGGATGAGAAGCTCCACGGTGCCATTCCGTCGATTGACTCGACCTCGTACTCGGGTTCGTCGTGGACGAGGACGGGCGGCGGCGGCGGCGGTTGGCGGCCAGAGAAGACCGTGTTGGGATCTCGATAGGGCTTCAAGAGTTGGACATGGAAGGCGTTGTAAATCTTCCAGGTAGCTGGCAGGCGAATGCTGAAGGTAACAGGAGTGACCTGTGCTTCAACAAGAAAAGGCCCGCAGAAGCGAGGTCGCAGTGTGGATGGGAGATGGCTGATGTCAAGATTGCATGTGTCGAGTAGTACTCGGTCTCCTACGGTGATGGTGTGGTCTGTGCAATGGCGATCGGCTTGGTACTTTTGTTGATGTTGAATGCCGAGAAGGCGCTTGTGGGTCCGATCCCAAAGTTTGTGCATGGTCGTGATGAAATCATGAGCGGGTTGGACTGTGGCTGGTATGGTTGGCTGTTGAGGTGTGAGTGGGTGGCGTCCGTAACAGAGGAAGAACGACGTCTGTCCAGTAGCGGTGTGAGTAGCATTGTTGTAGGCAAACTCCAGGACTGGCAGATGCAAGTCCCATTTGGAGATATCGTCCTTGCAGGCTGCGCGGAGGAGTTGCTCCACAATTTGGTTGAGGCGCTCGGTCTGTTCATCTGTCTGCGGATGGTAGGCGGATGACATGGCGAGCTTGGTCCCGAGCAGAGACATCAGTTCTTTCCTGAATTTACTGGTGAACTTAGGGTCTCGGTCGGAGATGAGTGTGGTTGGAATGCCATGTTGTGAGATGATGTAGCGAACAAAGAGTTGTGCCGTCTCCTCGGTGCGTGCTGTGGTGTGCGTCGGGATGAAGTGTCCCATTTTGGAGAACTTGTCAATGACGACGAGGATCGCGTCATGTCCGCTCGTGATAGTTGGTAGCCCGGTGATGAAGTCTAGCCTTACCACTTGCCATGGCTGTTCTGGGATAGGAAGAGGCTGTAGCAGAACCGCCTTTTTCTGCTTGCTGCTCTTCATCCGTTGACATGTAGTGCACGAGGTGACAAATTTCTGTACGTCATCTGCCATGTGGGGCCAGTAGTAGTGTTTGGCGATACCGGTGAGCGTCTTGTTGCTACCGAAGTGTCGAGCGTACAGGATGTCGTGGTATTCTTCTAGTAGTAACTGGCGCAATGGAGGGTAATTAGGTACCCAGATCTTCATTGATCCTTTCCGGTATGCGATGTCGTTGTCCCACTATAGCAGATGTCGCTTTTCTGCCAAGGGAATTTCTGGGTCGATGGTTTACCCGTGTATGAAGAGTCCCTTGAGGAGTGGATTCATCCCTTCAGCTTGGATAGCGGCAACGTGTGCAGGCCGGCTAAGCACGTCTGCTTTGTTTTTGTGGCCGGGCTTATACACGATGTCGTAGTGGAAGTGTGTCTCGAGGAAGTCAATCCACCGGACCTGCCGCCTGGAGAGGCTTGGTTGCGTCTTCAAATATTTTAGGCTGCAATGGTCGGTGTAGACTGTCGTCTTGGGTCCTTCGAGATAACATCTCCATGTTTTGAAGGCGATGATGATAGCAAGGGCCTCCTTGTCGTGTATCGGGTAGTTGAGTTCTGCTCCATGTAATTATTTGTTGAGGTAGGCAATTGGTTGCAGGCCATTCCCCTGGTCTTGCATCAAGACTGCTCCCACTGCCTGGTCGTTGGCGTCAGCTTCGATGACGTAGTCGCGTTCGGGGTCTGGCAAGATGAGTACGGGTGCGGACGTGAGTGCTTGTTTCAGCTGCTCCACAGCTTCCTGATGTTGTAGCTCCCATTTATAGGGCGTGTTCTTCTTTAGCAGATTCGTGAGTGGCGCGGCGATCTTCACGTATTGTGGCACGAACCTGTTGTAGTAGTTGGCAAAGCCAAGGAACTGCTCACGTTCTCAGGTGTCTTCCACGTACGCACGGCTTCGATTTTCTTGGGGTCGACATGAACTCCTTGAGCGCTTACGATATGTCCGAGGAATTGGACCTTCTCGAGGGCGAAGTCGCTCTTGGATAGTTTGACGTAGAAGTGTTCTCGTCGAAGAATTTCGAAGACGCGTCGTAGGTGCTCGACATGTTGTTGCATGTCGCGCGAGTAGATGAGGATTTCGTCCAGGTATACCACCACGCATTCGTCCAATAGTGGGCGTAGGATATGATTCATCTCTGCTTGGAAAGTTGCAAGTGCGTTGGTGAGTCCGAACGGCATGACCAAATACTCGTACGATCCGTACCGAGTTTGGAAGGCAGTCTTGTGAACAGAATCGTCCGCCATTCTTATTTGCCAGTATCCGGACCGCAGATCTAGTTTTGAAAATACCGTAGCTCCCTGGAGCTGGTCAAGCAGGTCATCGATTCGTGGTATCGGATATTTGTTCTTGATGGTCTGCTTGTTGAGAGCTCGGTAGTCGATGCACATGCGCAGGCTTCCATCCGGTTTCGGTGTGAAGAGTACTGGGGCACCGTATGGCAAAGTGGATGGTCGGATGAGTCCTTCGGCGAGGAGATACTCGATCTGCTTCTTCATGTCGGCTAGTTCTGTAGGGCTTAGCCGATATGGTGCTCGGAAGGTCGGTTTCGAACCTGGTTCCTCCACGATCTCGTGTTGGTGCGTTCGGTATGGCGGTAGTTCGTCCGGGAGGTCGTCGAGAAGAATGTCTTGGAACTCTTTCAGTAAGTCCTTGATTTTTTCTGGAGGTTCCGAGGCTTTCTCTCCGTCATTCTCCACCTCTGTTGCTATCGCCAGGAACCCGGTGTCGGTTCGCTTCACATCCTTCCTCGAATCTGGCGAGTGTCTCCACTGGGATATCTCTTGTATCGTCCCAGTTGGGTAGCTGGACTCTCCTTCCTTTGTTGTAGATGCTTGCGGTGCGGTTTACCCAGTTGATCTCGGGGTTGAATTTCTTGAGGAAGTCTCGCCCGAAGATCAGGTCAAGCCCTTTTATGTTGGTGATGGGGAGAGCAGGTTTCCAACGCGGTGGACCGATTTGTAGGTGTAGCACTGCTTCGCCGTACACTGGTAACTTGCTGTCATTCACCATCGTTGCAGAAAACGCTGATGGCTTGTACTCTTTTCGAAGTCGGTCGATGGTTGCCTTGTCGCATACGGTGTGCGATGCTCCGCTGTCCACGAGTGCTTGGAGGCGTCGTCCTTTGCAGATGACCTCGAGCACGAGGGGCAGGCGTTGCTCGGAGTACCCAAAGATAGTTTCATTGATTGGGTCATCGGGTACATCCCAATATTCGTTGCTTCCTACTCCTCAGCTGGCAGCTAGCCGAGGCTGCTTGGAGAAAGGCTCTTCTCCAGGGCCCAGAGTTTCCGTGACGACTGTTCGTGTCGTTGACGAAGTTGCCGAGTTGGATGCATCCGAAGAAGAAGGAGTTCGGGGTTTTTGCAGCTTCTTGTAGACCCCCAGCTTCATTTTGAGCTGCTTCAGCTCCACCGACGTCTTCCCTGGGGAACGGGTAGTCGCTGTGGGCTGGTGTCGGGAGAGGACGTTGACTCCATGGAAAGGTCGGCTTCTTTCCACACTCCTTAATTTGGTCCCCAAGTTCTCCGGTACCGGTACGATCTCCACAATTTTCTGCTTCTTCTGGAGTCCCTCCCGAAATTTCTCCAAGGCTCTAGCCCCTCAAGAAATACACGTTTTCATTAAAGCATCTTTGTAAGATAACTTTAACGGATCCTTATAATTTCTTGGGTCTTCAAAGAGTTTCCCCGTCTTGGCAGAGTCTTTTTTCGCGGAGTTAGATTTTTCCTCGGCGATTTCCTCTGGCAAAGACTGGTCATGGGGTGGAGATTTTTCCCTATCATTTTCTCCTGTTCGCGTCGAATCAGCTGCGTCGAAGTTGATTTTTATGGAAGTCAGCGGCCGCTTTCGGATCTTTTCTTTTTCGCCAGCTAGATCCGCAATCACTGGCGAGTCCCATTTTTTGGCTTCTGATTAGCCGAAGGATTTCCGCCATTGTTGCGTGCCCGATACCCAGCGAGTGCGGTTTTCATTTTGTTGCAGTCGAAGATTCGATAACCAGGCACCCCGCCAAAATCACATGTGTAGTTGGTGTTTTTCGGACGTGGCCGCCCTTCGAACCTGTCGACTTCCATCGGGTCGGCGAACGTGGTGTGAGCCGAGCGGTCGCCCTGTCGCGTACTGTCGACGTGCGTCTGTCGTGTCCTGGCGTTGACCATGTCGAAGCGTTCCGCGGCCGATACGACGTCACTGTAGCTCGCGTAGTTTGTCGCTACCACTTGTCGTTTGACTTCGGCCTTCAGCCCGGCAAGGTACGATTGTACTTTATCCCCTTCGGTCAGGTCGGGAATGCGGTTATAAAATTCCTCCATCTGCTGTGTGTACTGCGCTACACTCCCGAACTGTCGATGGCGATGAATTTTTTCGCGGGCAAGGAAACCCGGATTTTATCGGCTCGAAACGTTTCAGCAGGTCGGTGCGGAACTGCTGCCACGTGGCTTCGCCGTGGATGAAGGTGCTGTTACCGTCAATCCACTCGAGTGCCAGCCCTCGCATCAGTGTCGTCGCGAGTCGTACGCGTTCACCTTCCCAGGCTGGCGAGCTCCATCCGACGGCTGCGAAGTAGATCTCCATGCCGGCGATCCATCTGCGGACGTCGGAGTTTCGATCGCTCGGATCGAACGGCTCAGGTGGGCGCGGTTTCGGAGCCTCGAGAAACTGCTGCGACTGCTGCGTCGTCGCCGTTGTCGTTTCGTATTGTGCTCCGGCGAGTCAAGGTGCTCGCTCGAACTCATTTCGCCACGCTTCGCGATCCGCTCGCATCTCCTCCTGAAGGGCTACGATGCGCGCGAAGAGCTGCTGGGTAACCTCGGCGCTGTCGAAGTTCGCCATCCTGTTCAAAACACGCGCGGGGCGGGGGGGTAATTCGAAAAAGCGCGGAGTTGGTGCTTACCAGAATCCCCCGCTGGTGCTGCTTAGCTGAGCTCGGCCGAGTGAGAAAAGCTCTGATACCAAGTGTCACAGGATCGAATGTGTCGAGGAAAGGCTGCACTATCGATTGATACAAGGCGCTTTTTTACTTCCAGAGTACATCAGGTAACTAGGTTTATCTTATCCCAAGGGAATAGACCCTTCTAGAAGATAGAATCACCCTGCGTATAGCCACGCGAGGCTATTGGTTTTAAGGGATTACGGCAGGATTACGCTAGATATAGTGCACCAGTACGTCCCGAGCCTGGTTGGTGATATAATGATAATAACAGGATAAACCAAAGGTTTATGGAATTGGAGGAATAGGAATCCAAATGGAATGAGATAAAAACCAAATGGATCAAGATAGAAAGAGGAATGAAATGGAAAGGAGAAAGGAATGGAACGGGGTCGTACTCTCACATGTCTAAGACCTTGGCGTCACCACTACGTTCTCTGGTCACGAGCAGTACGCTGTCTGTATCGAGGCCACCACTGGTACTCCCCTCACCACGTTCCCCCGGGACCCGGTGTCTGGCCTGTTAACGCTTGACACCGCCCACGTGACTGTGTCTCCTCAGGTGGCTGCGGCTTGCTCGTGTCGGTCGCTCACTCACCCGACACTACTGTGGCACCACCGCCTAGGTCACCCTGCCCTCCCACGTCTTCGTCATATGTCTCAGCACGGTCTTGTTCTAGGCCTCCCTAGGTCGTTCCTTGCGCTCCCCTCCTCACCCGCGCCGCCGTGTTCCCCCTGTGTCGAGGGCCGGCTCCGCCGTGCCCCTCACTCCTCCTCGTTCCCCCCTACCACAGTACCCTTGCAGACCTTGCACATGGACGTCTGGGGCCCTGCCCCTGTCCATGGGCCGCGTCGTGAGCGTTACTTCGTCGTCCTTGTTGACGACTACACTGTTGCCAACCCGCCGCTGCTGCTGCTACTGCTGCCGCGGCGGCTGCTGCGGCTGCTGCTGCTGAAGTGGCTGCTGCGACTGCTGCTGCGGCGGCTGCTGATCATGCGGTGGAACTGGCTGCTGTTGCTGAGACTGCTGCTCGGCGGTGCCAGGCCCAGCACCCTCGTCCGCACTCCCTGCGGGCGACCCGGATCCACCACCTCCTCCACCCCCACCGCCTCCACTACCACCGGCGCGCCCAGCCTTTGGGCGGCGGCCCTTTCCTGGATGAAACTGCGCTGCAGCGGCTGTCTCAACCATAGCAGCAGAGCCGTCAGAGAAAGTGCATTGAGCGAGCACACAACCCTGAAAGATAGAGACAGGCACAGTACCGCTGGACTGGGCAATAGAGCGCTGGCGGGTCTCTATGGTAGACAGGGTGTCGACAAAGTCAGTGAGGTGAGGTCGGCGGGGTGGAGACTAAGAAAATGATCGCGGGCAGTAGCAAGGTGGTCAGGGAGGCGGGTGGCAAGCAGGTAGAGGGTAGCACAGAGGGGGGGCTGGAACACGCCGAGATGGGCCTCAGTGCAGGCAGAGCGCCAGGTCGAGTCTAGCGTGTGCAAGTGGGCGGCTAGGTCATCGACAGTGGGGAAAGACGCGAGGTCAGGAAAAAGTAGGGGCAGAATCAGGCGACCGACGGAGGCAGCGGACGCGGTGGAATAGCGCGCAATAACAGCCTCTAGGAATGCCTGCACAGTCGTGAACGACCTTAAGCGGGGACGCTCAGACAGGGGAAGGGCATGACTGATTGCGAGCTGTGTGACAGCGTCATGCGACAACCAAACTGCACGAGCAAGGGCAGCAGTGGCAGCGCACTCACGGTCAGCAGATGTGGGGTCAGCGGGCAGGTCAGCAGGGGGGTCAGGGCAGGGGAGCGTACCGTCGAGGTGGATAGCCAAGGAGTGGCCGTCCTGCCGCTGACCAGTGAGCTGACGGCGGAGGTCGACGAGCCACGTGTCGAACTCGATCGGCTGACCCTCCGCGTCAAAGCGTAGCACCGGGTCCTCCATCAGGAGCGATGCAGCGGCAGCGCAGTGCAGAACAATGTGGTACAGTGCGGTGCAGTGAGGTACAGTGCGATGCAGTGCGGTACAGTGCGGTGCAGTGCGGTACAGTGTGGTCCAGTGCGGTGCAGCGTGGTGCAGAGCGGTACAGTGCGGTGCAGAGCAGTGCAAAGTGATGCAATGCTGTGCTAGGCGGTGCAGCGCGGTGAAGCGCGGTGCAGCATAGTGCAAGGGCTGGTTGCACGTCAGGGGCAGCTGGACGGCGGAGCCGGGGTGCTGGAAAGGCCGGCGCTGGCCCGCGACGGGACGAGCGCAGGCCGGCTACGGGGCGGGCGCGGACCAGCGACAGGAGGGATGCAGGGCCGGCTACGGGGCGGGCGCGGGCCGGATACGGGGCGGGCACAAGCCAGCTACGGGACGGGCGCAGGTCGGTGACGGGGCGGGCGCGGGCAGGTGACGGGACGGGCGGGGGGGGGGGGGCTACTGGACGAGCGCGGGCCGGCTGCGGGACGGGCGCGGGCCGGCTAGGACGGGCGCTGGCCGGCTACGAGACGGGCGCTGGCCGGAACGGAGCAGGCGAAGGGCCGGCTATGGGCGCGGGCACGGAACTGGCCAGCGAAGGGCGCGGAACGGGCCGGCTACGGGACGGACCGGCTTCGGGACGGGCGCGGGCCGGCGACGAGACGGGCGCGGGCTCGCGGCCGACTAGGGGCGGGCCGGCTAGGGGGAACGGGCGGCTAGGACCTATGGCGGAAGCGCTGGTGGGCGAGCGGGACCTAACCTACTCATGATACCATGTTCGAATGCTAAAATGATTAGAATGTGAGAGTACAAGATAATATAGGCTAGTGTGTTGTACCTTCTAAGGCACAAATCTATATAGTCTACAATAACATACTAAGTTATGTTTTGACACCAAGCGCCTCCCGAGCCAGAAGCACGAATCTCGCTCAGTCCGGTTGGCTCTGATTGGCTTGCAATACCAGTCATTCACGAGTGGATCTGGTAGCGTAAGCTTTGTCAGCCAACTCATCGCGCTTTGTCAGAATGATGTCCTTTGGAAACACACGCACTAGAATGCAAATGTCAAGAAATACATTTTCACGTGCTCAAATATTTTTTTCCATAAAATCCCTTTCATAAGCCCTGGGCTTATAAATTTTATTCGATTACAAGCGCATGCCACTTTTGTTAGGTATTTCCTATAAGCACCTATGCGCCTATATCCGGGGGATTACAGTAATTCCTTACAATACTGGTTCTGTACAGTCTTTCGAAATGGTCCCCTCCAACCCCCAGCCTGATGAAATCTTAGACCCATTATACGAGCCTGACCTGCGGTTCCTATGGGCTATTCTAGAGCTAGTGTCAGACCCGAGGACGACCTGTGGCAGAAGGAGCCACGGGTTGTCACAACCAGGGCTCTCGGTTCAAGGGTAAACATCCGGAATGTCAGGTACATTTCGGGTCTTTCCCTTTGAAATCCTGATTTTGAGGGTTTCGGAATCACAAACCTCCTGTCAGATTCCGGGCGTTTCCCAGGAACTCTCTGAGAAATCCGGACTGCGCGAAAAATTATCCTGACTATCCGACTGGAATGGAAACCTACCCGTGCCGGAATTGTAACCCTACCCTCCCCCACATGGCAGCCCTGACCAATTTTCCCCACAATCTGAAGGTGTGACCGTGGAGCTTTCACAACTACGGTGCAGGGCTTTCAGACTATCACAACCCCTTAATATCACCTTAGCCAGGCTTCGCACTGTCCCTCTAAGTTGTACGCATTTCTGTCGCGATTGACAAGGAAAGTGTCGAACTTGGTGTGGTGCTGAGGGACAGCAACAGCAGCAAGTGTGTACTCTGTATTCTTCTCCATCGTTTCTTCCATGGATGTCCGTCCTGCTTGTACTCGAAGTGCCCGCAGGTTCCGCCTATATGTAGGGAGTTCCAAAAAACACTCTGAAATTCATATTGAAAGAGAGATTTTCCTGGGAATGCTGAATTTTCAGGGTATTTAGTGACGCGAATCCTGAGACCGCTGGGTCCTGGAAAACGAAAAAAAATTAGCCCTGGTCACAACCTAACTGCGGGTTTGATATTATTGACGGTGCAGCGGCTGCACACTCGCGAACTGTCGCAAAGGGAGGATTGCGACTATACTGACCGAACTTTGCGAGTCAACCAGAAATTTGCGAGTTAATGATTGATGGAAGTTCATTTGCGCGACATTATTAGTTGTTCGGCTTGACAGCTGACTGGCGGGACCCGTCAGTTTTTCGCAAGACCCGAAGGCAATTTTTTTCCAGCCTCGGATCTTAGAGCACAGCCCGAGGGTCTAACTCTCGCTCGAGAATCCTCCCTAAGACCGAGATGAGAGCAGCTAGGATCACCCCACTGCCAAAGCAACACTACCCCAGTTCTCGCCTCATCACGTACCGCTTGTAAGCCTCTCATCCGAACAGACACACGTCGGCGACGGCAGGCTGCGTTCAATCGGCCACCCTCCAAGCAGCGCATCCCGCAGCGCCTTATTCCACTGCCATGCCCATCACAATGCCACGCCCTTGCCGATACCACCTAGAAGCTTCCGAGGCTTCCTGAAAGCTTCTACCGTTCTCCGCCCGCCACCATGGCCACCGCCCTCGCTTCCGAGAGCGCCATTCGCGCGGCGCGTCTGCTCGTCGTGCTGCTGCTCGCTTGCGCCGCGGGCCTTCTTTCCGACGCGCTCACCCGCGCCGTGCACCTGCCGCACCTCGCCGCCTCGCCCTCGCAGCAGCAGCTGGCGGCCGCGCCTGTCCGGGTGCGCGTGGGGGCGAGTCTGATCGCCGTTGCGGCGAGCGGGGCGGCGAGGGACGCGCATGCCGCTGTGCTGGCGGGCACGGCGCTGAGCGGCGCGCTCTCGCGGCTGTGCCGCCGCCAGGCACCCGCCCTCCGCGCGGACCACGCCTGCCCTGCCGCCCCCCTTACCCACCCCAACCCTCACTCGTCACCCCCCTTGCCTGTCGCCGGCAGCGACAAGGCGCCGCTGCAGGCGCAATGCAGGGAAGAACCAGCGCAGTGCAGCGATAGTAGGGCTTCGCTTTTCTCCATGCTTGAAGGTAGCGCACCTCTTCTCCCACCACCGACCCCTCCTCACTTCCCAGGCCCACGCCCTCTACCCCTGCCACGCCACTACCCACAAACACCACTAGCGCTACCGCTACCACTACCATCACCATCACACCGCTTCCTTTTCTCTCCCCCGTGCGTCTGCCTCTTGTCCTCCCACGCAGGGCTGCTCGGAGCTGCCTTTCCCCACCTCCTCATCGCCATTGCCACTCCCCTCCTCCCTCGCCTCCCTCGCCTGCCCTCCCCCACCCCGGCCATCGCCCTCGCCCTGATCCCTGCCTACCCGTCCGCCCTCCTGCCTGCGGCGCTCCCCTCGTCCGCCCGCGCCCTGCTGCACCTTCTGCTGCTCCTTACCGCCACTGCTGCCCTCACCGCCTCCTCCTCCGCGCTCCTCCCACTCCTCCTCGCCCCCTTCCCCCTCTCCCCCTCCGCCCTCTGGCCCCGCGCCCTCCAGCTGCTGCTGGCGGACCTGCTGGCGCTGCTGCTGGCGCAGCTGCTGCTCGCGCTGGCGTACTGCAGGCAAGGGCAAGGGGAGGAGGGGGAGGGGCAGGCGAGGGGGGAGGAGGGGGGAATGGGGAAGGAGCAGGGTGGTGTGCGGGAGGCAGGGGGGGAAAGGCAGACGGAAGGAGCAGGGGGGAGGGAGGCGATGGAGGAGGGAGCAAGGGGGGAGTGCGGCAGGGAGATCAACGAAGAGGGCGGGTGGGGAGAGGGGCTTGGCAGCGGAACGCGGGGGGGGGATGGAGGCTCGGAGGGGAGTGGCGGAGTGGCATGGGGCATGGTCGCTCTGTACGCCATGGTTGCAGGCAGCTGTGCCGCACTTGCCTCCGGTGCACTCCACACCTCCCACGCCGCACCTCTCGCCATGCTGCTCGCTCCCACGCTCGTGTGGTGTGCTACCCACTCCCCACGGTAAGGCATCTTTCGTATTGCACCTCATCTGCCACGTAGGACCCACACCATGCCATGCCACGCCATGTATTGCCTGCTGTTAAAGCAGGGCACCTAATTGCTTTCGTCACCCACTCCCCTCACCTGTGTCATTCACCTGTGTCATTCCCACACATACCTCCAGCTGGCACCTTGCAATAGCCACGTTGGCACTGTCAGCATCAGCCATCTCAGCCACGTCAGCAGGGCTGGGCCCCTTTCAACACGCAGTTCCTTCAGAGGCTGCGCTGCAGGTGATTGGCTAGAGGCTGAACTGCAGATGATTGGCTAAAAGGCTGAACTGCAGGTGATTGGCTAGAGGCTGAACTGCAGATGATTGGCTAAAAGGCTGAACTGCAGGTGATTGGCTAGAGGCTGAACTGCAGATGATTGGCTAAAAGGCTGAACTGCAGGTGATTGGCTAGAGGCTGAACTGCAGATGATTGGCTAAAAGGCTGAACTGCAGGTGATTGGCTAGAGGCTGAACTGCAGATGATTGGCTAAAAGGCTGAACTGCAGATGATTGGCTAGAGGCTGTGCTACAGGTGATTGGCTAGAGGCTGTGCTACAGGTGATTGGCTAGAGGCTGTGCTACAGGTGATTGGCTAGAGGCTGTCCTACAGGTGATTGGCTAGAGGCTGTGCTACAGGTGATTGGATGGGGGAAAAGAGGTTTAGAAGAGGGTGTGCGTTGGTGAGAGGCTGCTCTTGGTTCGTGGCACACCTCATGTCAGCACCACCTCGTGTCAGCCTCTTTCAAGAACACTGTACACGAGCCATCCAGTTTGCCCATAGGTCTGGCACGCGCCAAGAGCGTTCCCTCAGATTGCACTCTGCGCTGCCCCTCAGTTGTACCTTCCCCACGTGCCCCTGTTGTCATCCCATCCCGACCCCAGCTCCAGCTCTTCCTGCTCGCACTCCTCCTGCTGGCGCACCTGCTCTCGCCCCTCGCCACCTCCCTGCGCCTGCCATGCACCCTCTGCCACGCCACTGCCAGGTCAGTCTTCACCCAAAGCCTTTCACGTGCGCGCCCTTCAGCCCGGCATGAGCCTCTGATGCGCTCACCTATCACTTGCCAGATCACCTCTCAGCCTCTCCCCCTACCAGTTCGCCTCATTCTGCCCGTGTCTTAATTTCTCACGCCTTCCCCACTCAGCCACACTCTGCTGCCTCCCTTCTGCCCGTCGTCCTCCTGCCCTGTCCCTCAGTGCTGCAGCTGCAGCAGCAGCAGCGCACACGCAGCAGCTGGCAGTGCTGCAGGCGGAGGTGCGGTGCGGGCGCGAGGCAGTGCGGGCGGCAGGGGAGGGGATGCGGGCGGCGGGGGAGGCGAAGGTGCAGTTCATGGCGAACATGAGCCACGAGATCCGCACGCCCCTCCACGCCATCCTCGCCATGACCGACCTCGCCCTCGACCACCCCCTCCCCCCCGACGCCCGCGACCACCTCGACACCGTGCTGCAGTCCGCCAACCACCTGGTAACGTGCTGCAGTCCGCCAACCACCTGGTAACGTGCTGCAGTCTGCCAACCACCTGGTAACGTGCTGCAGTCCGCCAACCACCTGGTAACGTGCTGCAGTCCGCCAACCACCTGGTAACGTGCTGCAGTCCGCCAACCACCTGGTAACGTGCTGCAGTCCGCCAACCACCTGGTAACGTCCTGCAGTCCGCCAACTACCTGGTAACGTGCTGCAGTCCGCCAACCACCTGGTAACGTGCTGCAGTCCGCCAACCACCTGGTAACGTGCTGCAGTCCGCCAACCACCTGGTAACGTGTTGCAGTCCGCCAACTACCTGGTAACGTGCTGCAGTCCGCCAACCACCTGGTAACGTGCTGCAGTCCGCCAACCACCTGGTAACGTCCTGCAGTCCGCCAACTACCTGGTAACGTGCTGCAGTCCGCCAACCACCTGGTAACGTGCTGCAGTCCGCCAACTACCTGGTAACGTGCTGCAGTCCGCCAACCACCTGGTAACGTGCTGCAGTCCGCCAACCACCTGGTAACGTGCTGCAGTCCGCCAACCACCTGGTAACGTGCTGCAGTCCGCCTACCACCTGGTAACGTGCTCCAGTCCGCCAGCCACATGGCAGTGCCTCCTGCTTATCCCCTCCACTCATGGCCCCTCTCACGCCTCTCCACTCGCCTCCCCACTGGCCTCGCATGTCGCACATCTGTCGTGCACCGCCCTAGATCGTTTCACAGCCCTAGATCGTTTCACAGCCCTTGTCTCAACCACCGCATGCTGCTCTTCTCATCACTGCCAATCCGCCCTCCTGCCCTCACACCTCCCCCCTGCGTTCCCCCCTGCGCCCCCCTTGGTGTGGCAGCTGGTGCTGGTGGACGACATCCTGGACATCACGAAGCTGGAGGCGGGCCGCCTACAGCTGGACGCGGACCAGTTTGACGTGCGCGCCCTCATCAACCGCATCATGACGATGCTGGCCGCCCGCGCCGCCCTCAAGGGCCTGGCCTTCCAGTGGGAGGTGGATGCTGCTGTGCCGCCCGTGCTGCTGGGGGATGCCATGCGCCTCAGACAGTGCCTGGTATGCCTAGTCCCACAGCGGCAGTGCCGGGTATGATTCGCATGCGCTTGGGGAGGGGCTTCTCACTCTCCACCCGTGTGTGGCACGGCCAGCAAGGGCCACCGCGGTAGGGATGGGATTGCACACGTGGGGGAGGGCAGGAGAGTCCATGCTGTGCTGCGCTGAGTGCATGGTGGCCTGCATGCATGTGTGTATGGCTAAAAGCATGGTGTGCCCCCACTTACATATTGCTACTCGCTGCCTTACCCCCTCCCCCTCCCCCCCCCTCCCGCGAGCAGGTGAACGTGGTAGGCAACGCCATCAAGTTCACGGAGCGCGGTGAGGTGCGCGTCACCGTGCAGCCCTTCGCCCCGCACCTCCTCCCGCCCAACATGGCCCTCATGCACCTCCCACCCGCCCACTCCCCTTCCTCCCCTTCCTCCACATTTCCTGCTCAAGCCGCCTCTCCGCCACACCATTCTCCCACCACCACCACCACCAACCCCGCCACCCTCTCCTCTGCCACCTCTTCTCCTGCCACGGACCTTCCCCCCTCGCCCTCCGCCTCTGCCGCCCCCAACGGCCTGTATGGTGCACGTGGCGGTGGGAGTGGGCCAGAGGGCGCAGCAGTGCGAGGGGGGGTCGGAGTGGCGCTGCTGTTCACCGTGCGAGACACAGGCGCGGGTGAGTGCATGCGGCCCGCAATACCCGCACAGGCCAACTCGTGTGTTGGTCACCCGTGTACGGCTCTCTCTCTCTCCACACACGCTTCCCCTCATTCCCTCCGCATGCCCTGCCGCCTCACTCCCGTGTCACCACGCGCTCTCCCCCTGTGTGTGCTGTGCGGTGTGTGCTGTGTGCTGTGCGCTGTGCGCTGTGTGCTGTGTGCTGTATGCTGTGCGCTGTGTGCTGTGCGCTGTGCGCTGTGTGCTGTGTGCCGTGCGCTGTGTGATGTTCTCTGTGTGCTGCGTGCTGTGCGCTGTGTGATGTGCTCTGTGTGCTGTGTGCTGTGCGCTGTGTGCTGTGTGCTGTGCGCTGTGCGCTGTGTGCTGTGTGCTTTGCACTGTGTGCTGTGTGCTGTGTGCTGTGCGCTGTGTGCTGTGTGCTGTGTGCTGGGTGCTGCGTGCTGCATGGCGCCAGGCATTGCGGAGGGGCAGCAGCGGCGCATATTCCAGTCGTTTGAGCAGGCCGACTCCTCCATGTCGCGCCAGCACGGCGGCACGGGGCTCGGCCTCTCCATCACCTCCAGGTGCACCATCACCTCCAGGTGCACCTTTACCTCCAGGTGTGCCTTTACCTCCAGGTGCGCCTTCACCTCCAGGTGCGCCATCACCTCCAGGTGTGCCTTCACCTCCAGCTGTACCTTCACCTCCAGGTGCGCCTTCACCTCCAGGTGCGCCTTCACCTCCAGGTGCGCCTTCACCTCCAGGTGTGCCGTCACCTCCAGGTGTGCCTTCACCTCCAGGTAGAGATGGGTATATCGCATCGCATCATTTTTTATCATATTTTGCGATTGCGATTTTTATTTCTATTTTTAAATAAACGATCGCAGCGTCGGATGCGATTTAATCGCGCGATTTTTTTAATATCGCGCTTATATCGCGCATTTTTTAGCGCGATATAGTGCGATATGCGATTTGGAAAAAGCGCGCGCGTGAAATTGGCAGATTTGGGGGGGGGTGGAGGGAGGGGACGAAGCCCAAATAGGGCTGCAACCCATTCTCTTTGGGAGAACCCCCACCCCAACACATTCCCACCTACGTGACCGCAAACGCGTTTAGCGTTTTAAACGAAGCGTTTAAACGCTAGCGTTTAAACGCTAAACGCGCCTTCTTGGGTTTCTAAACGCTAGGGTAAACGCTCGTTCGGGCAGCCGTAAAATTTCCCCCGGGCAGGGGAAAAAAACCTGGGATCGGTGGGGGGAGGCAAGGGGATTATGGTATACAACATATTTACTCCAATATCGTGATTAGACTCTGGCTCGTAAATATTAGATGCTGCAGACGCTGTAGGATTAGCGTCTGCAGCATTAGGGGGGGTCGACATGGGCGTGGGCCCTTATCTTAGCGCGAAATTAGGTGGCCAGGGTGGGAGGTGAGAGAATAGCGACTGGATCTGAGCTACGGCTATGGCGCGCGGAACTCTAGGGTAGACATGAGCAATGAGGCGAGGATTTCCTCGCCTCGGAAGTCCTCGCCTCGAAATTCCGGGGGTCGAGGCAGGTTTTCTGGGAAAAATCCTCGCGAGGATTCCTCGCCCCGCCTCGGCGAGGATTCGAGGCCTCGATTTTTCCTCGAGGCAAATGGGCGAGGATGTTCCCATTACCCCTCTCCCCCTAACCCCCAGCCGCCCAGGTCAAGGAATCCTCGCCCCGGGTCAAGGAATTAATCCTCGAGGCGAGGATTTCAATCCTCGACCCCAAAACCCGGGGGTCGAGGGGGGATTTTCATGAAAAATCCTCGGCGAGGATTCCTCGACCCGCCTCGGCTAGGGCGCGAGGATGAGATCCTCGAGTCAAGGAATCCTCGCCTCGCCCCGTGCTCATGTCTACTCTAGGGTTCCCATTTTTGACGGGGAAGAGATTGTGACGGAAGGAGGGGAGAAAGTGGTTAGGTTAGGTTGGAGTGAAAGTCGTTGATGAACAGGGTGCTGTGCGGTTGAGAGGGGCAAAAGGTTTGGATGCCTTTTTTGGTCGTTAGTTTGGGATTTGCGACTTGGCAAATGTCTGGTTGAACTCGCCAAGTCGCAATGTCACGGAAAAAATTGATCGAATTTTTGGCCGGGCTGCCCCTAAAATTTTGCCCGAGTGTTTAGCGTTTACGCGAGCGTTTTGCGTTTAGCGTTTAAACGCAGCGTTTAAACGCTAAACGCTGCCCTGCCAGAGCGTTTGCGGTCACATAGATTCCCACCTCATTTCCCACCTCCCCACTCCCATTCCCAACCTAGCCTGCAAGCACAAAATGCAAACCCTTGGAACTCCCTTAGCCACCTAGCCACACCTCCACACCACTTCCCCCTCTCCTAAGCAAGCATAGAAGCACCAATTTCATACCCTTGCTGAGGTACCTCCCTTAACTACCTAGCCACAAATCCACACCCCCATTCCTAAGCTAGCATACGAGCACATGTTTCCTCGCCATCATTTAGGGGTTTAGCGCACCTCCTAGGGTTTCGTGATCGCCCGATAATTTAGCCCTGGCGATGCGATATTTTATCGCATCACGCGATATATTGCACTCTACAGTGCGATATTTTTAAATGTCGCACCCTAAAACGCGATATGCGATTTCGGTAAAAAAAAACATATCGCATCGCTGCAATATAATGCGCGATAAGACAGAATGCGATGCGATATCGCATCGCATCGCATTTTGATCATGCCTACCTCCAGGTGCGCCTTCACCTCCACGTCGCATCGCATCGCATTTTGATAATGTCTACCTCCAGGTGCGCCTTCACCTCCAGGTTCGCCTTCACCTCCAGGTGCCCCTTCACCTCCAGGTGTGCCTTCACCTCCAGGTGTGCCTTCACCTCTAGGTGTGCCTTCATCTCCAGGTGTGCCTTCACCTCTAGGTGCGCCTTCACCCACATGCCGCCCGCTCACTCTCTCCGCCACTCCTTGACATCTGCCTCTGTGTGGCCCCCATCTCCAGGCTCGTTCACATGATGGGCGGCAGCATTTGGCTGCACTCGTGTCTTGGCACCGGCAGCACTTTTGCCTTCTCGGCCACCTTTGCTGCTTCCTCCCTCGCCCCCTGCTCCCCCGCCATGCGGCCCCTCCTCCCCCCCGCCGCACGGTGAGTGCGGAGGAGCTCGACCGCCGCCTCGCCCTCGACGCCCTCTCGCTGTCGCTCCTTCCCTCCCTCCCCCACCGCTCCTCCTCCCGCTCCCTGGCGCCCGCCCTCTCCCCCTCCTCCGCCACCTGCCCTGCCCCCTCGCTCACGGCCCGCCTGCCTGCTGCTGAGCGCAAGGGGTGGGGCGAGGAAAGGCGGGCAGAAGGCGGCTTGGATGCAGCAGCAGGTGTGGCGGGGGAGCAAGCAGCAGGAGTGCGGGAAGGAAAGGCAGAGGTCTCAGGAGGCGAGAGCAGAGGCATGTATGCGAGGGCTGTCACAGCAGGGGTTGGAGGTGGTAGGGGTAGGGTGCAGCAGTTGAGGGGCGGTGAGAGCAGGGCTGGGCGCAGCAGGCGGCGAACACAGAGCTTCACATGTGGGGATGCGGCCACAGGGCGCATGCTGGACGACGTGCTGCTGCGCGCGCGTGAGGAGCAGCAAGCAATTGAGGAGCAGCACGCTCGCCAGGAGCACCAGGCAGCCAAGCTGCCTCCCGCCAGGCTGACTGCTACTGCTTCCCACACTCAGGGCGCCCCTGCCCCTGCCCAGGAGCAGGAACAGCAGCAGCTGCAGCTAGCATCGTCTGGATTGGAACGAAGTAGCAGTGAGGGGTTTACAATGCGGCGGCGGCCTCTGCTTGTGGTTCGAGGGAGGACTCGGTCCATGGAGTGTGGTGGGGCAGGGGAGAGCAGGGAGTGGGGCAGTGTGGGCGCGGAGGACATTGTGAGCGTGCAGATGAGAGGCAGGGAGGCTACTGGCAGAGGCTCAGGTGGCGCCACCGCCAGTGAGAGCAGTGGTGGCGACGAGGGCAGGCCGCCCGGCAGCAGTCCTCGGCATGTGCCGCCCCGCCTCAAGTCGTGGGGTCCCGGCAGTGGCAGTGGCAGTGGCAGTGGCAGTGGCAGTGGCAGTGGCAGTGGAGTGCGCATGGCAGGCAGTCCGCACACAGGGGCGGGTGCCAGGGGCATAGGGGCCAGAAGCGTTAGCAGCAGAGCAGCAGCCAGCGGGTCCAGCAGCCCTCATGCACACGCCGGTGCTAGTGGTGGTGGTGGGGCCGATAGCGCTGCCCGCGTGGTGCCTGGTGGGGCGGAGGCAGGAGTGGCAAAGCTGAGCCGGGTGGTGGAGAGGGAGGACGAGGGGGGGAGCGAGGAGGACGGCCCGGGGGGCAGGTCAGGGCAGCGCAGGAGGAGAGAGAGGCGAGCACAGGTAGGTGGTGCTGGGCGCCTGGCAGCAATGGAGGGCAGTGCGCAGGAGCAGCGGGGGGCTGGTGTGGGCACGGAAGGGTGGCAGGGCGGTGGGCAGGCTGTGGGGATGCAAAGGGGAGATGAGGGGCTGCAGAAGGGGTTGGGTGCATCTCAGGAGGAAGGAGGCGAGGTGGGATGGAGAGGCAAGCATGTATGGCGGGCCCTCCCTTGTCGGTGGATGTGAGTGGGTGTGGGGAAGAGGCAGCAGCTGGGGTGGGCAGCAGCAGCAGGTTTGACGAGTCACTGCCTGCGCCTGGGACGCACAATGACAAGTCGGATGCCTCGCCACCAGCGTTAGGCAGTGCCGGCCACGCCCACGGTGAGCCACCCACCTGTGGCCGTGCCAGTGCCTCCCCTATGCACCCACCCATCCCTGCAGCAGCTGCGGCATCACGGCCCAGGGCAGACTCGTCTGTGGCGTTGGGTCGGCAGCGTCAGCTGAATGCTCGACAGCTCACTTTCCAGCTGCCCGAGGACGCCTCCCCCGACCACACGCCCTCCACGCCTACCTTTGTCCCTCGTAGAGCGTCTCAGGGGCCTCCTGCTGCCTCCACTCTTGCCTCCTCCACCCCTCCCTCCTCCGCGCTGCCCCCCTGTCCCCCGCCCCCTGCTCCCGGGCACCTCCCTGTGTGCGCTGCCCGAGCCCAGCACCATGGAGCCGAGCACCATGGACGCCATATATGCGCGCATCCAAGCAGCTGCTGCCGCCCAGCGCTCCCTCGCCCCCGCTCGCTCGCCCCGCACTGGCGCTTCTGCAGGCGCCGTGAGTCGCAGCTTCTCGCGCAGTAGGGAGCCTCCCCCCTTGGACGTGCCGACCACGCCGCTGTCGTCCTCGGCTCGGCGCACTGGCGGGGGCCTGACTCGGCAGAAGTCAGGCGGGCTGGCGCTGCTGCAGCGCCAGGGCACGGGGCTGGCCCGCCAGGGCACGGGGTTGGGGCGGCAGATGAGCATGAAGCTGAAGCAGAAGGTGCGCGCCGCCAGCCCGCGGGCGCTGCTGTCGTCGACGGCGCTGAACATCCTGCTGGCAGATGACAGCGTGGTGAACCAGAAGGTGGCGGTGCGCTTCCTCAAGAAGAAGGGGATGGTGGCCGACGCCGTGGGCGACGGCGCTCAGGCCATCCAGCGACTCTACCCCAAAGACGGCGGCATCACGCCCTACGACCTGCTGCTGCTGGACGTGCAGGTAGGCTGCTGGACGTGCAGGTAGGCTGCTGCACGTGCAGGTATTGCAGAAGTAAGTAAAATTGTGCACTGTCTCATTGAAGTACAAGGTATCAGACTATACTTTCTTGGCATGTACACATGCAGATTTGCATGCATCTGTTTGTGTGGGGGGTGGGGGGAGGGGGGCGGGTTTGCCTGGTTGCGCCTCTCCCGCCTTGTACAGATGCCGGTGATGGACGGTCTTCAGACAGTGCGAGTCATCCGCGAGAAGGAAATGGCAGAGAAGCTGCCCATCTTCCAGTCATTGGTGCGCTGTTCCATGGACTCTGGTGCATCCCTTGTCGATTTCTTCCATTTTGACCCTTGTGCAGCCCATCTGCACCACAATTCACCCCGTACAGCCCGTCTGACACACAATGCACCCCCCATCAGACTAGCAAACATGTTTCTAGTCCTCCCCAACCTGATAGCATCATCCCAGGTAAGAAGCTGCTGCATGACAGAGCACGGTCTCTCTTGCTCCTCTCTGGCTGCCCTGGCCCCTGCGTGTCCGAGCAGGCCTGACAGCCCATGCAGCTGACGTGTACCGCGACCAGTGCATATCCGCAGGCATGGACGGCTTCGTCTCCAAGGTACGTTCACCCGCCTCCAGCGCTCTCTGCTCTCCCCTCCCCCCACCCCTCCCTCGCTATCTTTTTATGCATTGGTGCTCTTACAGGCAGAGAATATATATACTTTTTTGCGCAAAATAGAGCCATCCCTTGCCCACTCTCTCCCCCCTCTCCACACACCCCACCGTTCCACCTCACCCTCCCGACACGAAAGCATATGCATTGCAGTTGTGTTACTCAGCCATTTACGGTAGCAGGTATAGTTTAAAACGGTTCTTCTAGGTGACTCCATTGATTCCATTCCATTCTCCGTTCCCTTCCCCTCCAGCCGTTCACTGTGAATCAGCTGCTGAGCATGATGCAGTCGGTGCTTGAAAAATACTCGTATAAACGACTCCCACCTGAAGCTATGGCATCATAGTTGAAATGCAACACGTTTACTGTACCTTTACAAAGAGTAATTTATTGCAGCTGATCAGTCCTGTATGTATCAGAGAAACAACAGCTCATATGGTGTTTTCAGGAAGTTGAATGTGCACCCTTGCATTGTTGGAAACACACTACGATTCGTGAGTCTCATCGTGGTGTAGCAGCCGAAGAAGCTGCGGCTGTTCTGGAAGAATCTCTAGGACTGACTGCAATTTGCGGAGCGGAGTGTCAAACATGTGTATTTGTCATGTTTGTATAGACTGTATAGAGTCACCTCTTAGAGGATACAGAACTTAGATATATTTGTGTGTACTCTCACTTTACCATTATTCAATTTTTCTGACATGGTATCACGCGTAGGTAGGATCCCCCCCCCCCACCTACCGCTTCCGCTCATGCCCCCTAGCGCCCTCCTGGGCCCCGTCGCGCTCCTCCCAGGCCCCGTCGCGCTCCTCCCAGGCCCCCTAGCGCCCCTCCTGGGCCCCATCGCGCTCCTCCCAGGCCCCGTAGCGCCCCTCCTGGGCTTCGTAGCGCCCTGCCAGGCCCCGTCGCGCCCCTCCTGGGCTTCGTAGCGCCCCTGCCAGGCCCCGTCGCGCCCCTCCCAGGCCCCGTCGCACTCCTCCCAGGCCCACTAGCGCCCCTCCTGGGCCCCGTCGCGCTCCTCCCAGGTCCCGTAGCGCCCCGTCGCGCCCCTCCTGGGCCCCGTAGCGCCCCTCCTGGGCCTCGTCGCGCCCCTCCTGGGCTTCGTAGCGCCCCTCCTGGGCCCTGTACCGCCCTCCCAGGCCCCGTCGCGCCCCTCCCAGGCCCCGTCGCTCCCCTCCCAGTCCCTCTAGCGCCCCTCCTGGGCCCCGTCGCGCTCCTCCCAGGCCCCGTAGCGCCCCGTCGCGCCCCTCCTGGGCCCCGTAGCGCCCCTCCCAGGCCCCGTCGCGCTCCTCCCAGGCCCCCTAGCGCCCCTCCTGGGCCCCGTCGCGCTCCTCCCAGGCCTCGTAGCGCCCCTCCTGGGCTCTTTCGCGCCCTCCTGGGCTCCGTAGCGCCCCTCCTGGGCCCCGTCGCGCCCCTCCTGGGCCCCGTAGCGCCCCTCCTGGGCCCCGTCGCGCCCTCCTTGGGCCCTGTAGCGCCCCTCCTGGGCCCCGTCGCGCCCCTCCCAGGCCCGTCGCGCCCCTCCCAGGCCCCGTAGCGCCCCTCCTGGGCCTCGTCGCGCCCCTCCTGGGCTTCGTAGCGCCTCTCCTGGGCCCCCCGTCGTGCCCCTCCTGGGCCCCGTAGCGACCCTCCTCGGCCGCGTCGTACCCGTCGCCGCCGCCCGGCCCGTCGTGCCCGCCCGGCGCCGTCGCGCCCGCCGACCCGTCGCCGCCGCCCGGCCCGTCGCGCCCGCCCGCCGCCGTCGCCGCCGCCCGGCCCCGTCGCGCCCGCCCGGCGCCGTCGCCGCCGCCCGGCCCGTCGCGCCCGCCGGCGCCGTCGCACCCTGCCTGGCCCGTCGCGCTCGCCCGGCCCGTCGCAGCCGCCCGGCCCGTCGCACCCGCCCGGCCCGTCGCACCCTGCCCGCCCCGTCACAGCCGCCCGGCCCGTCGCACCAGCCCGGCCGCCGTCCCGCTCGCCCGGCCCGTCGCACCGGCCCGGCCCTGCCGCACTCGCCCGGCCCCGTCGCCCCAGCCCGGCCCCGTCGCGCCCGCTCGCCCGTCGCCCGTCCCGGCCTGTCGCATCAGCCCGGCCCCGTCGCGCCCGGCCGCCCGTCGGGCAGCCCCGCCCGTCCTCCTCACTGGTACGGTCCCCCCCCCCCCCCCCCCCCCACCCCGCCTGCTCCGTGCCGCCCTGCACCGCACTGGTACCGCACGCACCGCACTGTACCGCACAGTACCGCACTGCACCGCACTGCACCGCACTGTATCGCACTGCACCGCACCCCACCTAGCTGCACCGCCCTGCACAGCACTGGACTGTTCCTGATGGCGCGGAGCTTCGCTTCGACGCTGAAGGTCAGCCCTAGAGTTCGAGGCGTGGCTTGCCGACCTCCGCCGCCAACTCACTGGCCAGCGGCAGGATGGTGAACCGCTTTCCGCACACCTTGACGGTACGCTCCCTGCCCAGACCCTCCTGCTATTCTGCCCGCTGACCCCACACCCACTGAGCGTGAGTCTACTGCTGCCACTGCCCGTGCGCGCTCTGTCTGGCTTTCTCGCGATGCTGTCGCCCAGCTGCCATTAGCAACGCCCTCCCCCGTCCGAGCGTCCTCGCTTTAGGTCCCTCACTACTGCTCAGGCATACTTAGATGCTGTCATCAAGCGCTATTCCACCCCTCCGGCTGCCTCGGTGGGTCGCCTGATCCTCCCGCTGCTCTTTCCTGACCTTGCTTCGTTCCCCACTGTCTCTGACCTCGCTGCCCACCTGCGCTCGATAGAGGAGACCTGGCGCGCCGCATGCACTGACGCACAGCTTAGAGCCACCAGCCGCCCATTACCTCTACCCTCTACCTGCTTGCCACCCGCCTCCCTGACCGCCTTGCTGTCGCCGCGACCGCTTCCTTAGTGTTCACCCCGCAGACCTCACCTCACTGACTTTGTCGACACCCTGACTGTGATAGAGACCCGTCACCGGCTCCATCGCCCAGGCGAGCGGTGTCGTGCCGGTCCCTATCTTTCAGGGTTGTGCCCCGCTCAGTGTACCTTCTCCGACGGCTCTGCCGCAGTGGCTGAGACTGCTGCTGCAGCGCAGGCCCGTTCTGGGAAGGGCCGCCGCCCCAAGGCTGGGCGCGGCGGAGGGGGCGGCGGGGGTGCGGCGGGGGTAGTGGTGGGGTCGGGTCGCCTGGTGCTGGAGCGGACGAGGGGACCCTGCCAGTCCAGCTGAGTCGCCGCCCCTGCAGTTGCAGCAGCCGCAGCAGCCGCCGCAGTCGCAGCCTTCGCAGCAGCCGCAGCAGCCGTCGCAGACGCGGCAGACGAGTGTTCTCCCGCCAGGGTGGCCCGGCGCTGGCGGTGGACGGCGCGTGGTGGTGTGCCGCGTGGTGGCTCTGCCGGCGGGCGTTGTCAGTACCAGATCCAGACCGGTCCTCGCCGCGGTTTCGTTTGCGGTAAGATCGGTCACTCCACTCCCCGCTGCTTTCGTCGCTGGACGACCTCTTCGTCAGCGTTTCGGCCCGTCGCCAGACCTCCCGGACTGGCACAGTTTGCTTAGTCGTCAGATTCAGATCTTTGATATGGACATGGATGCCATTGTTTCTGCTCTGCATGTGATGTATGCTGATGACTCTAGTGTGCTTCCGACTTATTACTCACTGTTGCCTAGTGTAGGTGTGCCTAGCTTAGCCTCCCCTGCTGCGTCAGGCGTAGGATCCCCTGCTTTGTGTAGTCTTGGTGCTTCTGCCGTCGTTCCGTCGCCAGACCCCTCGGCTTCGCTTTCCTTCACCTTGGACTCTGGCGCCTCTCGGTGTTCTTCCGCGACTCCACCACCCTGACGCCGCTTCCTGTTCCTGCTGCCGTTTCTCTTGCTGACCCCTCCGGCGGCCCGGTAGTCGCCCGCAGTTCCACCACCCTTCCCTGTCCGGCGGTTCCTTCGGCTCTCTTACAGGTCTGCAATATCCCCTCGTTTCCCAGGAACCTAGTTGGTGTCGGCTGCCTCCAGGACCTTGGCGTCACCACTACGTTCCCTGGTCACGAGCGTATGCTGTCGTACGAGCGCCACTGGTGCCCCCTGTCCACGTTCCCCCGGGACCCGGTGTCGCGGCCTGTTCACTCTGGACACGTGCCCCCCCGGCTGGAGCGCCCCCTCAGGTGGCTGTGTCTACCCAGGTTGCTGCTGCCTGCTCCTGTCGCTCCTCACTCACCCGACCTCCCTGTGGCACCACGCCTAGGTCACCCTGCCCCGCGTCTGCTCACATGTCCCAGCACGGTCTTGTCCTTGGTCTCCCAGGTTCACTCCCCGCGTTTCCCTCCTCCCCAGCTCCACCTTGCACGCCTTGTGTCGAGGGTCGGCTTCGCCGTGCCCCTCACTCCTCCTCGTTCCCCCTACCGCCGCGCCGCTGCAGACCCTGCACCTGGACGTCTGGGGCCCCGCCCCCGTCCCTGGGCCGCGTCGCGAGCGCTACTTCCTTGTGCTTGTCGACGACTTCACTCGTTACACCACAGTCTTTCCCCTGGAGCGCAAGGCCGACGTGCCTGGCGCCCTCATCCCCTGGCTTGTCTCTGCGCGTGTCCACCGCGGTCTCCCTGTCTTGCGTCTTCACTCAGACCGTGGTGGCGAGTTTGCCTCAGGTGTCCTTGGTCGCTTTTGTCGTGCGGAGGGCATCACCCAGACGTTCACCCTACCGGACTCCCCACAGCAGAATGGGGTCGCTGAGCGACGCATCGGCTTGGTCATGGAGGTCGCTCGCACCTCCATGGTCCATGCCGGTGCACCCCATTTTCTGTGGCCGTTCGCTGTGCGCTACGCTTCTCACCAGCTTAACCTGTGGCCGCACCCTCAGCAGCCGCAGGTTTCGCCGACCCGTCTGTGGACTGGGTCTCCTGGTGACGCGTCTGCGTTCCACGTCTGGGGCTGCCTTGCTCACGTCCGTGCCTCCGGCACGGACAAGCTCACTGCCCGCACCCTTCCCTGCGTCTTCCTCGGTTTTCCCCTTGACGCGTCCGACTGGCACTTTTACCACCCGCCGTCTCACCGCTTCTTTCACTCTCGTGACGTCACCTTTGACGAGTCCGTCTCCTACTACCGCCGCTTCCCCCACCGTGGTCCCCCGGTTACCCCCCCCTGTTCCTGGTCACCCCTTCCCCGGTAGTCCCTGCCCCTCCTCCTCCTCCTCCCCGTCCCGCCCCCTCTGGTGTCTCCCATGTCACCCCCCTTCCGTCCGTGGACCCGGTTGAGGAGTCTTCTGACTCTGGTGGCCCTCCGGTGCAGTCCTCGCCGGCCGCCCCTCCCCAGGTGTCCCCCCCAGTCCCCTCCTCCGCCGTCCCTGCCGCCACTGCAGCCGTCGCCGTCGCCGCCGCCGCGCCGCCGCCCAGTCGCAGCCCCCGTTCGCTGACTCTGGGGGTGCTCGTCCCGGTCGCCCTGAGGGTGGTCCCTCTGGGGGTGCGGGTGTGGAGAGTGCCGGTGGTAGCCGAGGAGCAGCTTGCGGTCCAGGTGTCGCCGTTGTGCCGCCGCAGCAGCAGTC